TTGGGCATTCACAAGGCGGGTGGTTGTGATTTACAAAGCATGCAATGGATTCAGTTCCAAACAAACACATATATATTTCTATCCCCTTTATTTTTTTCAACACATCTTACATAGTTAATCAATTACTATGGGGTATGTTGGGCTAACTTTGGCTCTAATGCAATAAGACCTTAATTTTATTTTATTTTTAAATAAAATTTATATAATCTTAAAAAATAGGCCCCTTAAATTCGTGGGCCCTAGGTGGTTGCCGGGGTGGCCCACCGTCAGGACCGGGTCTAAGTTTTATTTAGAAACAACTACGACTGTCAACCATCTTACCTTCCATTTATCCTATTTTTGTAGGACTTGAGGTCTTATTGTTGTCGTTATTTTGGAGTCTTCTGCTAATTTAATTTTTACTATTTTTGTTTTTAAAAGAGTTTTCGAACATGATTGTCATATTTGAATAAATGGTTGTTTTTATCATACTTTCGGGAATGAGTTTTGAAAGATTACTCTGGATTAAAAATAAAAATATTGGTTTGAAAATTATGACGTTATACCTAGTGGCGGGGCTAAATGGGGCGATGAGGATGCTAAGCAACCCCAAAAAAATTGTTTTATATATGTAAAACATTTATTTGTAAATATGTTTTATGTTATTGTATCCCCAACTAAATGGATTGTACCATGTTTTTTAATGTCCGCGATAGGATAACTACATAAAATATATATTGTTAATGTTTGTACCCATGTAACACTCAAAATTTTCAAACAAAATTTTCATTTTTAAGATTCCCAAAAACATAGTTGTTAACACCATCTCATGTCAAGTATAATTGTCAATTACATAACATCATAAAAACAAGACAGAATATCCCATAATCCACAAATATCCCCATTAGCAGACGAGTGTGTACAATCATGTCGGCGCCTTCCTGCGATCCTGAGATGTACTGAACCACATTTACATCAACACTGTAAACATGAAGCTTAATGAGTTCCCCAAAATAACACATACACAAATAATTAGCCTCTCATGGCTATATCACGATAAGGACCCTCCGGTCATGTGTCTTAGTGAATACCCTCCAGTCCCACGTCTCGGTATGGACCCTCCGGTCATCACTCAATACATATGCAGAATAATATAACAACATAAGTTACAAAGACAAAATGCATAAAAACACATATCTCAGTATAAGCAAATAAGACCCTCCGGTCAATAACATGAATAAGGCCCTACGATTAATAACACGAATGAGACCCTCCGGTCACACATAAACTACTATACAGATAAACATAATGAGAGGACTCACCTCACGCAAAAAACAATAAATCTCGCACCCGAACTGCCAGTCTAGACTCCACCTAAAATATCTCACATTTAACTCTAATTAATAATTAATATTAATAACCCCAAAATGTTAGACCGAGCCTCTCTACTAAATCTCAGAAGGGTAAAATACCATTTTGCCCCTCCTTGGCCAAAAGTCCACAAATTGACCAAAAACTCAAAAGTCAACGAAAGTCAATGCCCAACGAGTACGTTGGGCGTACTACTGGCTAAGCATGCGTGTAACGCCGTAAATTTTCAAACAGATTTTTCATTTTAAAACCGCATACTTTTCATATAAAATCTCGTTTATTCAAATTACAGAGCACAACTCCATTAATAATCCAGGATCCTCAAAATATAACTCTTTCTCTGGTGTGTACAATCAAGCCGGTGCCGTCCCGCGATCTTGAGAAAACCTGAAACACAAAACACATAACACGGTAAGCACAAAACTTAGTGAGTTCCCCAAAATACCATACACAACACATATTAGCCACTCGAGGCTATAACTCTGTTGACCCTCTGGTCAATGTGTCTCAGTGGGACCCTCCAGTCCCATAACTCTGTGGGCCCTCTGGCCCTAACTCTGTGGAACTTCCGGTCCTAACTCTGTAAACTCTGTAATATACATAGCATAAATCACATAGAAATCACATCATGCAAAAGCATACAAAATACTCTGTCACATAACTCTAATTACCACTCTAGGTAAAGTATAGTGAGAAGACTCACCTCGGATGAAGAACAGCTCCTATAATCACTGCTGCTACGCACCAGACTCTAACTCTGTGCCAAACCCACAATAATCTCAATTAGGAGCTAAGTCCAACCTCTCACTTATTGGGTCTAAAGATAGACCACCTATCCGCCCATTAATGCCCTAAGTCCATTGGGCCCACCAAGGCCCAATAATAAATGGACCCTCACACGGCCCAAATCCCAACCAAAAAGGCAAGTCCAAACCAAAGGCCCAAAGCACATACATACACTTCTCTAGTCCAAGACTCTATTACATGAGGTCCAAACTCCTGGCCCAACACTCAAGGCCCAACAAAATGCTTAGCCCAAAACCCCCCCAGAAGGAGTTACGCGGGGCATACCCCCCCTGGTACGCTCAGCGTACCCAAACACTCAAGGAACTGATCGGGGACCTCAACCCAGTACGCGGGGCGTACTGGAATTACGTGGCGCGTACCATCAGGCTTGCTTAATCCATTTTCTGGGTCTTAACCCGTTAAGACCTTAGCTCAACTCTTGGATCTGGACTTCCTAACATCTCTTACTCCATAAAGTTAACAACTTTAAGCCTTTGCATGGCTGATAAGGCCACAACACATGAAAACTCTTGCTTTCTTGACCCAAAGTGCTCATAACTCATGCATGGGTAGATTCACACGATCAAGGCCTTATTTTTATGGTTCTCCACCACGAGAAACACTTAAAAGGACAGGTTATTAAGCTCTGGAGTGCATCAACTCATAAAGCCTCAAGCTTGGGACCAAAAACCCTAAAATTGGTCCAAGAAGCACACAACCATAACAACAAGGAAAGTTCTGAGCTTTTTACCTCCAAGTGAAGCTTCTCCCTTTGTAGAACTCAGATCCAAGCTTGCACTCCAACTTCTAGCCTTCACAAGAATCTCCTATTCTTCTTTACTAACACACAAAGGCATTTTAGCTCCAGAAACACTCACACAAGCTTAGAACGAAGGTTGGCTCTCTTTTAGGGTTTCACACACTCAAATGGTGGTTGAGGATAAGGCCATAACCTTCTTTATATAGGGCTCAAGTCTAAATTAGGGTTTTGCATCTGGGCCGGTTACGCCCAACGTACTTCATGGAGTCCGTGTTTATTAAAAGCGAATGAGTACGCGCAACGTACTCTTCAGTACGCCCAACGTACTCCTTTGCAACATTTCCATAAAGGGGCTTCTCTTGACAATTTGGAGAAGAGGAAGGGTTAAACAGATATACCCAAATTCCCGGATGTTACAATGCGACATATATTCTCAGCGCTACGATGCGCCTAGCTGGAAGTACGCACGACGTACTCCTCAGACTCCCTTTTTCTACTTCACTTGGTCTTAATCCGTTAAGACAATCACTCAAACTATAGATCTGAGCTAAATAAGGCCTTTTGATTCATAAAGTTGCTGACTTTAAGCCTTTGCATGGCTGGACAAGACCCAATCCCTAAAACTCTAACTTTCTTAACACAAAAGACCATACAACTCATGCATGGAGAGATTAAAGACGTCCAATCACCTATTTTTATGGATTAAAACACTCTAATACACCTAAAAGGACAGAAGAATAGATTTGGAGTTCACCAAACTCACAAAGTTCCATAATTGGGACACAAGACCCTAAAAAGGACCCCAAAACAAGAACTATAACAAAATAATGAACAAGTTTTGAACTTGATACCTCTGGAAGATGCACCAACTGAAGTAGAACTTAGATCCAAGAGCTAGAAGCACAAGCTATCATTCCTTCAAGGTTCCTTCTCCACCAAAAGCTTCACAAGAACACTCAAATGAGTCACAAACACTCACACAAACTAGAGGAACGAGATTAGGGTTTGGAGGAGGTTGGAGGCTGATAATGGTGGCTAGAAATGAGGCTATCATGTTCTTTAAATAGGGACATAAGAAGGTATTAGGGTTTCATTCTGAGCCTAGTACGCCCAACGTACCAGGTGGCCTCCACGATCAAGCTAAGCGCATGAGTATACTGCGCGTACACATGCGTATGCCCCCGCGTACTCAAATGCCACCTTTTTCAACATAAGGACCAATCTTGACGTATATAAAAAAGGTTAAGGTCTGAGAAGTTATACCTCCTTTTTGGGGATGTTACACCACCGGTTACACCTTACATGTTATTAATGTTAAGTACAAAATGGATCGACCTAGATTCCAAATGTACAACTGGAACAACATACATTATCAATTTCATCACATTCACAATGACATACACTGGTATTAATTAAGGATGTTACCAATGATGGTCATCATGTTGATCAGACGTGATATCTCGGATATGGTGATTTATGTTGGTGGTCCTAATTGATTTGATATTTGTAACACTCAATAGAAACATAGGTCAACTCCTCCAAGCGAAGAGAGGGTCACCGTGAGCATGTGCAATGTATATGAGAGAGGTATGTGAACTTCCTTGAAAGTCCCTATTACCTGAGTTAAGAGATGTGTGTATATATATATATATATATATATATATCATGGAAAAAGTGTCTATCTTGGAAAGAAAGTGAATGAGAGCTCGATTGTGGGATCGAAGTGGATGGATTGAGAATGTTGGGCGGAGCCAACAAAAGTGACAAAACTAAGGATGCTGAACTAAGCCCACATGAATGAATAGACTAAGAATGTTGGACTTAGTCGAAATGAGAATGATGGACAATATGACACGAGTGGTTGGAGTGAACCAGGACAAGAGGTGATATAATCATTGATAAAAATATTGGAAACGAAGTTTGAAAATAATGGTATATTAAAAAAATCTACCAAAAAGACCAAACATATTTTTATGTTTTATAAACTTTCGGTTGTTTTTCTTCCAAATTGCCCTAATTTTCAAAATCTTATCATTTTATCCGAATATATGATTTTCCCGATAATTATATTTAGTAGTTATGTAATTAGCTAACCACCGTAAAAATCTTCATTGCCACCTCCCAAGCCCCCAAGCTGGTCACTGGGTGCTTACTCCACACGCAGACATCTAGGTTTTGGCCATATAACTTCCCGCCCAAAACCCCTTACGTTCGCAAATTCGCCATAAGTTTAGAATCTTTGATCCTTCAAGCCACCTGGTATAGCTTCAATGGCGGAAACAGAAACTGCTGATACTAGTAAAAATGTCATTAAAGTTGAGGAAGAAATCGAAGGAGACCAAATGGGCACCAAAAACTACCGTTTCAGCAAAATCGGCGAATCTGTTCCCATCAAATCCGACGCAGATTTCAAATTCGATATGGATAACCTTCCGTCTCGTCCCATGGCAGTCTCAGAACGTTTTGGAGTGATTTTTGTTGCTCATTCCTCCGGTAAGAGCTCTTTCTCGTTTGGAGTTTATTTATATCATTTGAAGGTCAGCTAGGGCTCAATGTCGCAGGTATCGAGTTAGTACTCTTACTTTTGTATCGGAGCTGCTACAATACTGTTTTTTTCTTTTCTTAGTCAGTTTCACTTCTCCTGGAGAATTGTTAATGTTTCGGGATAGAGTTTGTCACGGTGTCTGTATTTACTTTAACGTGACTTGGATTGGTTGCTGGTAGAGTTATGTCTTATGAGGTGTAGTCGAGCTGATGTTTACCAAAATTTCTACCAAACATTGAGTTAGTTGTTACTTGTTACTTCAGAATGATCTGATTTTGAAACTTCTCCAAAACTTGATAACTGCGAATAGTTTAATAACACAAACTGCCTATTGAAAATTAGTGGTATTCTTTTGTTCCTATACCCATATGCATATTGTAGAAAATTACAAGGTTGGAACTTGGAAGTTGGAACTCAGAAATCAAAGTTTTTTTTATGTATTGCAACAGAAAGGGAACATATATTATAAACTGTTCATGGTTTCCATAATATTACTTCACTTTGTTGCTGCTAGGGTTTTGTGTTGCAAGGACCAAAGATGTTGTGGATTCAGCAGAAGAGTTGAAAAATGGAGGCACTGGTCCTTGTATACAGGAGCTAAGTGTTGTGGATGTTTCTGTTGGAAAGATTTCCATATTGGCATTATCTGCAGATTCTTCAATGCTTGCAGCCTCTGTTGGTTCCAACCTTTATTTTTTCTCAGTTGAGGGTCTTCTTAATAAGGTTCGTGATGCTTTTGTTATTTCATTTGCTATCTGTATAACCCTCAAATCTGGTGTTTCCATACAATGATCGGCTTAAGCATTGGTTTCAAAATGGTTTTTGTTGATGGGCTAACTTCTTGAAGTTCAATTTTTTTTTTTTTTAAAATTATTTCTTGAGAATCAAGTGGTATTTTGTTCAAGAGTAGATGCAATGCCACTGTGGATATGATTGTTTCTCTCATCTTTTAGGATCAAGAACCTTCTTTTTCCAAGTCAATCAATGGATCAAGTAGCATCAAAGACATGCAGTGGACTCCACGCTTGAAGCAACAGTATGTTGTTCTTACAAATGATGGAAATTTATACCATGCAGCTGGCCAAGATGATCTTAATAACCTTATGGACAATGTAGATGCTGGTAAATTTTATATTCTCAACTATTTAAAGTTTTCTTGGGTTGATTGATTCCTTGTCTTTTTTTTTTGTCTGTAAAAGGCTTAATTTCTGAATAGATACTTTAAGAAAACTTAAATACCTATGTGTTTTTGTTGTCTAGTTAACTGGAGCAGGGATGGAAAGTTTCTTGCTGTGGCAAAATATGATTATTTAAGCATTTTATCATCAAAATTTGAAGAAAAGTTACAAATTAAGTTGCTATTCAATTCATTAGTTGATGATTCCGCTCCAGATTCTGTTGTAAAAGGTATATTACTATCTAAATCTTGATTACTTTAACTTAATAACCTTATATGCATGTTGTCTACTTCCATATAGCTTTTCATTCTTGTGTGTTTACTAATCAAGAAGGAACCTGAAGTGTCTTTATGCTTTCCTTACAGTGGATTCTCTCAGGTGGGTCCGCCCAGATTGTATCATCTTAGGATGTTATCGTCTGAATGCTGATGGGAAGGAGGAGAATTATCTACTTCAACTCATCAGTGTCAAAGATGGAAAAATCACAAAAGTAAGTAAACACATTAGTATCCTTAAGCTCTTTATTAACATAATTTTGTATTAAAGGTTTATGTTTTTGGTTCAGATTCATATAGTTTACATGTGGATTTTGTTTGTTTTCATGCAGCCCTCTTCCAATCCAGTGGCTTTGACTTTTAGTGATGCGTTTCTTGCTATAAATGAAGATGACATTCCATCTGGAAGTGGACCCCATATGTTTGTGAGCTATGTGGATGAATGGTTTGTTTTTTTTTCTCTTTACCTAATATACATATTGCTTAGCATCATAACTGTTTTGGAAATTTCTGCTGTTTCTTGCTAATTCCATGTTCTTTTTGAATCATATGCAGTGAGATTGCATTTGTTGCTAATAGGAAGAACACAGATCAACACATTGTGCTATTTGGTTGGTCTTCAGATAAGAATAATGAAGCTGAAATGATAGAAATCACAAATGATGCATGGATTCCAACAATTAATCTTCAAGGTAACAATAACACCTGCTAATAATCTTGATTAATTTATTTCAATAATTTTAATAAAAGTTGCTTCCTACATCAGAAAACAGTGATGATAATCTGATCTTGGGGCTTGCTGTTGACAAAGTTTACAAGGATGAGAAACTTAGACTCACACTTGGAGAACAAGATACAGAAGTTTCACCATGTTGCATTCTTCTTTGCCTTACCATTGATGCAAAGGTTTTTATGTTCCATTTTGCCAGGTATTTCTCATTTTCTAAACTACAAATAATATTTAAAATGTTATTATTTTTGTTTTCTTTCAAAGATGTAAGCTTTGGTTAACTTACAACTTCTTATGTAGTGCCACAGGCCCTTCCCTTTTGTCAGAAGATGCAACTTCTTCTGTCTCTGATGAGGAAGTTGAGTCTTCTCCAATCAGTTCTCAAAATCAGGTGATGAATATTGTTAACAATAATAAGCAAATTAAGGATCAAACTCCTCAAAAAGTAAAAGTGGATGAACAAAATGAGAAAGCACACAGTGAAGCTCCAATGAGAAAAGACGAAAAAACCAACTCTACATCAGTTTTACAGCTAGATAAAGGTGCTACACAACAACAAGTTCCTGTTGTTAAAGATGTGAGGAAGATTGAAAATGAAAAAGTTGCTGATTCTGTTTCAAAAAATGATAAATCAAACAAAACACTATTTGGAGGTTTAGAATCATCTGTGAATAAAGCTTCTTCATTTGGTTTGCATAGTTCATCTGGAAGCTTCTCTAGCTCTTCAAATGTTTTTGGGGTGCAATCTTCTAAGGCTTCATTTGGTTTGAATACTTCATCTGGATCACACTTTTCTTCAAATGTTTTTGGAGCTCAATCTTCTTCTTCTTCTTCTTCTTCTTCTTCTTATTCTTCAGCTCATGCTAGTGTGAATAAGGCATCATTTGGTTTGAATACTTCATCTGGATCATCACACTTTTCTTCAAATGCTTTTGGGATGCCATCTTCTTCTTCTTCTTTTTCGTCTTTTTCTGGTATCCAAAGGAGTGCAGAATCATCAGGCAAAATAGGATCAACTAATCTGCCTGTTTCATCGGGAACTTCTTCTAGTGGAGGCATGTTTTCTTCTAGAACTTTTGATGTGAAGTCTCCCTTTTCAAATACAGGAACAGGAACCACACCTTTGAAACTTTCATTTCCCAAAATGCCCTCTGCTCCATCCACAACTACTTCAACCACATCTGGGGTTAATGTTATCAACACATTGCCTGTAATGTCCACTACACCACCGAGTGTGGGAAAATCTTTGGACTTGAGATCATCTGACAAAGGAAATTACAGAAGTCAAACTCAGTCAAGGATGTTAAATTCTGACCCAAATCTATCTGAACAACGCAGTGTAAGTAAATGTAATCTTTTCATCTAAAAAAAAAAAATCAGTCTGGAGTTTATTCTGTTTTGTATTTTATTCAGGTTGAAGAGATGGCAAAAGAACTAGACACTCTGTTGGATTCTATACAAGGACCAGGTGGTTTTTATGATGCCTCTGTTTCTGCCCATAAGCCATCTGTTACAGCTCTGGAAGAGGGTATTTTGGTACTTTCAGAAAGATGCAGAAAATGGACAGTGAGTTCCTTCCTTCACAATCACCTCATTTGGTTCTTCTCTGTAGTTTAAAATATTTACCATACTGACCTTACTTATAATAATAGGACACAATGGATCATGGGATTGAAGAGGTGCAACTTATCCTTGACAAGACTGTTCAAGGTAACAAACATCATATTTATGCCAAATAATTTCTATATTTACCAATATATTTTAATTGCTTTTAATTTATAGTTTTGGCAAGGAAAATATATATGGAGGCAATAGTGAAACAAGCAACCGATAGTCAATATTTAGATATTTGGAATCGCCAGAAGCTGAATTCTGAATTGGAAATGAAACGTAGACATATTTTACAGATAAATCAGGTATTTACTATTTAGTTCTTTTTTTACTAACATTTTTATTTGTGATATATATATATATATATATATATATATATATATATATATCATTAAAAATAAAAATGTTTCTTTTTCTGCCAGAATTTGACAAATCAGCTAATAGAACTTGAAAGACATTTAAACACCCTTGAACTCCAAAGATTTGGTGATAAAGGCGACCTTGAAACGAATCGAAGATCTTTCCATACGAGACATGGCCCACCAAGGTGATTATTATTTATTATTTAATTAATAATAATAAATAATACTTTGTATTTAGGATTAAATATTAATGAAAGAATCTTTTGGTTTACAGGCACGTTCAGTCTTTACACAGTTTACACAACACCATGAATGCACAGTTGGCAGCTGCAGAGAAACTCTCTGAATGCCTTTCGAAACAAATGGCTGTGCTTAGTATCGAAACGGGACCCACAAAAAAACAAAATGTGAAAAAAGAGTTATTTGACACAATCGGAATCTTCTATGACAATTCTCCAAGTCAAGAAAAATCTAGGTCGGTCCCACCAAAAAGTCAACTTGTAATCTCTGCCAGCTCAGACACAAAGAAAAGTCAACAAAGTGCTGTGAAGAGTTCTGAACCAGAAACCGCAAGAAGGCGCAGAGATTCTCTCGATAGGGTAAAACCGTAAATTACCTTTCTTCTTTCTGTTACATAAAAAAATGACATTTTTAACCTTGAAAATTTCATTTCAGAGCTGGGCAAGCATTGAACCCCCAAGAACAACTGTCAAAAGGATGCTTTTGCAAGAGGAGCGTACAAGTACACCTCCTGCCAGATCATCATTGCCACCTGGCAGTAGAAAACTTGATCATCATCATCATCATCATCATCATCGGTTGTCTGTGGGTCCCACGGTTTCTCATAATATGCCACCTGGCGCCTTAAATATGTCGTCAGAAACACAAATAAAGCGACATTCTGAGAGACAGTTGAATTCCTCCTCAGTTTGGGGTAATAACAGTAACAGTAACAGTTACGATTCATCAAAAACTCCAGTGGTAGCAGCAGCTTCTGTGCTTTCTTTAGGCTCTGCTTCACATTCACAGTCAACACCTATTGCAAGTCAAGAGGTTGAAAAGTCAAAAAGCCGTTTCACCTTCAACTTAAAATCAGATGACCCAAAAATTACTCAACAGCCTCCAAGTTTCTTGGAACCTTCAACAAATATATTCCAGAAGAAGCCTGTTGAATACTCAGAATCAAGCAATAAAGAAACCGAAAAACCAAAGTTTTTAGTTGGAGACACGAACCAGAAGCCAAAAGTAAAAGTGGCAGAAAGCTCTTCTTCAATTTGGTCAAAAAAGAGTCAAGAATCACCATTTTCTGCCACGTCATCATCTACTGCCTTTTCTGGAAAAAGTTTCTCTTTGGAATCATCATCATCATCATCATCTACAAAAGAGAAACAGCTTAGTGAAGCTGTGTCTTCTTCTGTTGCATCATTGTCTGTTCCTGTTACTTCAGCACCTCCTATCTCATTTAGTAAACCATCAACCAGTTTTGGGATCCAATCAGGTGCTACTCAGACCACCAGCCCACTCTCTGCACCTTCACCTTCACCTTCTTTTCTTTCATTTTCATCCTCCATTAAACCTTCAGCCAACATAGATTTGAACACTTCCAAATCAAAACCAGATACAACTGAAACTCCAACACCAACTTCAACTCCAACACCTAGCCTACTTTCATTACCCAAGTTCGATATAAAACCAAATGAGAATTCTTCAACTCAAATTTCACCTCCCACCCCCGTGGTTTCCTCAGTTGCCACAAGTAGTCCCTCTCCTTCGTTAGCATCAAATCCAAAACCAGAACAAGAACAAGCATCATTAGTGATACAAGATGTTGCAGTTTCACAGGAAGATGAGATGGAGGAAGAAGCTCCTGTACCTGAAACAGCTCCCACATTGGGAAATTTCAGTGGGTTTGGGCTCGGGTCATCCCCAAACCCGAACCCGAACCCGAACCCGGGTGCACCCAAACCAAACCCATTCGGTGCACCATTTGGTAACCCAGTAGCTACTCCATCTCAACCGGTTCCTTCATTTGCTCCTTCTCAACCTACTGGTGGTCTGTTCAGACCTGCTTCCTTCAACATTGAATCTTCACCACCCATGCAACCTTCACAACCGTCTCAACAACCAAATTTCAATGCGTTTTCCAGCGGCTTTGGTGGTGGACAGGGGTTTGGGCAGCCGCCTCAGATTGGTTCGGGTCAACAGGTTTTAGGGTCGGTTCTTGGTTCTTTTGGTCAGTCAAGACAGTTTGGTGCTCCAAGTTCTTTTGGGGGTTCCGGTTTCGGTGCCAGTCAAACTGCTGGTGGTTTTGCCACTGCTTCATCTGGCGGTGGGTTTGCCAATCTGGCTTCCGGCGGTGGAGGTTTTAGTGGTTTAGCCACCAGTGGTGGTGGGTTTGCGGCGGCAGCTACTAGCGGTGGTGGATTTGCCGCTGCAGCTACTGGCGGTGGTGGTGGGTTTGGTGGTGCTGCGGGTGGTGGTGGGTTTGGTGGTGCTGCAGCGGGTAGTGGTGGTGGATTTGGTGCTTTTGGGAGCCAAGGTGGAAGTGGGTTCTCTACATTTGGTAGTAGTGGAGGAACAACACCAAGACCTCCATCTGAGCTCTTTACACAGATGAGAAGATAGATAATCATATATAGTTTCGAATCTATTGTTGAAGGTAGTATATTCCTATATGTTTGTTTATCTATTAAACAAAACCAATATGAACATTTTTTTGTTTCTTTAATTAAACAAATGTGTTTCTTTTCACGTGATAACGAGTTCAATGGTTTTTTGGTTATGGTTAGAGAAAATGCTATTTTTAAAAGTTTTGGTTATTAAGTACTACGATTTATTTTTAATGTATTATTTTATTCAGTTTGTCAATATCTTAGCATATAAATATTAAATCTTAATATGGAAATTTTAAAAAAGGTTTAGGTGCTTTTGTTTATATTATTACTACGTATGGCAAATTTAGTAATAATAAAAAATAAATGATAAATTGCACCATCCGAGAACACGACCAATTCATTTTTGTGATCTATCAGTGCATATACTCCCATTTCGGGGGTGCAAACTCAGTAATAAGTAAAGAGTATATTGAATATGGATATCTTTTATTGGTCGTTTTCGAGATTAGTTATTGGTTGAATAGATAGTTTGATTATCTAATAATGGTGTCTATTTTGACATGTATTCTTATAATCACAAAAGAGAAATTAAATATCCTCCTACTTTTCTCATCACAAAAAGATAATGATACTCATATTTTGTCATATTTGGGACTCTCTTATGAATTTAAACATACCATGTACTCTCTACTGACCTTGCTTTCTTTTTGTGCCTAAATTGAAAGGGTGTTTGGTGGATTGTCCCAATATCAGTTTTCATGTGAGCCAGACATATGGGAACAAAATATAATCACGAAAAATAAACTCACAGGATCCATAAAAAATTCAGCAATTTTTTGATTACCAAACTCGATAACTTGCAGTTTAAGTTGCTTCATAATCATAATTGTATTAACATCATCAGTTTTCACTATCTCCTCCATTGAGGAAAAGTGAGGTTAAGCTTTTCTAACGGAGACACTGAAATTAAACTACCATCTTATCCTCCTTCAACCACCACCACTGGCGTTCTATCTGATTGGGGGTTAGGGTTTTCAAGAAAAAGATGATAGATAGAGGGTCTATTTTCATGAATTAAATTAGACAAGGGATAAATGCTGGTATATAATGTAAAAAGTTATTTAATTAACATGTCAGAACATAACATCCCTAAACTCTATAAAAGCAATATGGCCACTTTATTATTATTAACGTGACTTGGATGTGACAAATTTCAAAAATATGTACGGAAAATTAATGATATAAGTTACATTGGTTCTATAATAGTACCAAACCCTTAAAGAATTAAACTTTTTCTTGCATCCAAAAAGAATGAACCTTATATCACCCTTTCTACATATTGCATGTATGTGTTGACATCATGTGAAAAACTAACACGTTGTCATCGCCAATATTTGTTGATAAATTGTTAGAATCTTTGAATACGATATTTATAACAAATTAATGGTCCAGAAGGATAATTTGGTAATTTTAGTATCTTGTTTTGTGTTGTTTCTAGTCCTACCAAATACTATACATAAAAGTTGTTCATTCTTATTCATTTCTGTTTGGTTCAGTTCAGTCTAGTTAGCCTAAATGACTTTCATACAAAAATTTAGGGGGTTAGGAGTCACTATTTTATACGAGAGGGATTGTAAATGTAACTTTTCAATAACCCAAAAAGCATAAAGAAATTGAAGGAGCGGGTTCATGCCAGTGTTAAACGCTTTCCTTTTTCATCTTTCCCCTCAAAAATCTTCTCCCCAATTCCTCATTTTCCACGATCAACACACATATAACGCATACTCACACAAAACAGTGTTCGGAGAAGAGAAACCCCACAAGAAACAATCATATCTTTATCTCAAACATTGATTTAAGATTCCGTTTCTTTCAATGTAGCCCAATTGATCGTATAACCGATGTTCTTCGCAATTTGATTGATTGATTGAGGTGGGACGAGTTCAAATTTATCAGTTGTTTAAGGCCGGATTGGAGGAGGGAAAGATTGTGTTTGCTTTATGATGCTTTGTCCTGAATTGAACACTCAGATACAAACCTGGCTTCGTGATTACGACAAGATTCAGTCGTTCGCCGTGATTCTAATTTACATTCAAGTAATTTCTCTCTCCCCATTTAGTATTCCCATGTGAATGAATTCATGTTAGTCGTATACATTGTGATTTTACACTAGTTTTGATCCGTCTACAAATGATTCCGAAACGTAGAACTAAATTTATGAATTATGACCTACACTTTTCATCTGAATTCGTGTTTTTCATTAATTTTAATATAAATAACACCGATTCAAAAACTGTTCGTTTATATCGCGATGTACTTTTGATTTTGTATTAATCGATTGAAGTTTTATGATATGTTTGAAGATTGCTTGTGCTTTGATTGGATCATTGGGGGCATTATATAATGGAATTACGCTTGTAAATCTCGGAATTGGGTTATTCGCATTGGTTGCAATCGAGAGTAGCAGCCAGAGTCTAGGCCGAACTTATGCAGCTCTATTATTTTCCGCAATTTTGCTAGACATTCTGTGGTTCATCTTCTTCAGTCAAGAAATCTGGTTAGCTTTCTCTCTTCTAATTCTTCCTCTGTATTCAATTTTTTTTTCTCTTCAGTTTCATCTAAATCAGTTCAGTTTGGGATGTATTCAGGAACATTTCTTCAGAGATTTATGGAGAATTTGCGATATTTTCAGTGAGATTGACGCTGTTAATGCAAATAATTGGGTTCACAGTAAGATCATCATCCTCATTGTTATGGATTCAGATGTATAGATTGGGGCCTTCACTTGTAGATAGTATAGTTCCTCGAGATGGAGATATGGATTCGAGGAACAGTTTCATGAATCCTGCAACACCTCCTCATGTAGTTAGACGCACATCTGGTTCTCTTGATTCAGTTGGAGGAGGAGGAGGAGCTTCCATCTATGATCCATCCTACTACACCTCCGTTTTTCCAGATAACCATGATGAAGAATCTTTACAACCGGTAAATATCTTTATCATACACAATGTACCTGATATAGATATCAGACACTGTGCCTGATAGTGATAAACGCACTATCAGGCACGCACTATTAGACACAGTTAGACTGTGCCTAATAGTGCCTGATACATGATACACATGTTTCAGGATTATATTTGGGATGGTTGCATGTGAAATTGATGTAATTTTGTAGGGTCAAAACCGTCGCATGGGCATGGATGCGTCGCTGTCTGATTCTCTGTTGAAGCCGCCTTTAGGAAAATCTTTTCGGGGTTCAAATGTAAGTCTTAATTCCCATTTTCATAATTCTATGATTATATGAATATAATGTTGGTAAGTTTGTTTATGTATGTAGGAAAGGAGCATAGTAAACAGGCTTGGGAGTCTTTGAAGTAGAAAGAAGATTATTTCACCATATATCATATGATTCCTATTTCCATATATTCTTTTTTTAATTTATTTTTACAGAATGCAGCTTTATTATTATTATTATTATTCTTATATTGAATGATTTGAGGTAACATACTCTAATGTACAGTTGCATCTTCAATCTATTCATTTAGTTGAATTACATTTGAACAAATATGGTATGCATGAGGGTTGTACTTCATGCATGTTGGATTGTACCTTTGCACTGATCAATGCCCAATGATCATAAAATGGACGTACACAAAACTACAACAATATGTTGTATAAAAAAATATGCTATATAAGGAAAAAATGGATTTTAAAATATGTTATTTGATATATTTAATTCATAAAAATAATAATATTGAAACGTTAACATTATAGTAGTTACTGATTTTATTTATTTATTTATTTATTTATTATTTTTATGAAAGACTTTTGATCTCTTTTGGTCTTTGATTTGATATTAACCATGGTAAAAGGTCTTGGTCTATTTCTAATACCTTAAAAATAATCTTTTTTTTAATATATTTCTATATTTCTTAAAATGTGTTATTTGATACATTTAATTAAAGGAAAAGTAGAAGAAATAATAATATATGTTTAAATATATGTTTAACATGTATTATTTGACGAAATTGAAATGATATATGTTTACCATGTATTATTTGACGAAATTGAAATGAATATAATAAAAATAATTGGATAAGGTTTAAACAAAACCCAAATAACATGTCAAGACAATAATAAATAATAATGTAAACACTTGTTTTTAATTTAATTAAAAAAACACTAAATCATTAATTTATCCTCTGCGTAACATAGTTTAAAATATGCTTATTTAATATATAAGTCGTAAACACATAGTTATTTAAAGATTTTTATGTTATTCATATATCTACGTACATCTAAACAATAATGTTTATAGTAATATACGTAAACGGTAAAAAGTAAAAACTAAATTGGTTGTTTTTTAGTTTAACCAATATCGATTAAAATATTCCACTAAACCTTATTTCCACATCCGTCACTTTGACATTCTATAGCTCGTTAAAATGGTAACAATAGAAAAAATAACAAAATTGAGTAGTTTTAGTCAAATATATATTTGACCAAAATATAGTAACTAATTTGCTTTTATTCACAATTTTTTCTAGGTCGATCATTTTGACATCCACGAAGACCACCACCCTTTTTAATCCTTTATTTTTTTAAACAATACTTGAGACCGGTTATTCTAATCAAGTTTGACATAAAGGCATTGATCTTAGTTATATGCTTCACAAAATAAGTGTACAATTTCTTTCATTGTGAGGACACTTGGTGTGATATCCTAATTTCACAGTCAAAATTTTCATTTTTGTTCAAATTAAATTCCTCAATTATAAAACCATTTTTAAGAAAGTCATTTATTCTCAATTACAATTTATTAAAAGCAGAGTATTATAATGAACGCGAAATCCTCAATGTTGCTGATAAGTGTGTACAGTCCCGCCTTCGCATTCCCATAGACACCGATGATACCTGAAACAATAAACAACTGGATAAACATAAAACTTAGTGAGTTTCTCCCAGAATACCACCACACAAATGAATAACATATACAATCAAACATGTCGGGTCCAATCAACCATTAGGTTGGAATACCCCATGCCCAGTCAACCTCCGCGTCCAGTTATCCTCAGGATGGAATACCCCAGGTTGGAATGCCAATATACAACAGCTCCAATCAGCCATCGGGCTGGAATACCCAGGGTTTGTTGGCCTACCGTCTCAACCCTACCGCTCTTCTCGAGCCTCCGTGCCTACGGCTTACAGCTGGCCCGCACCGCATATCTTGTCCTACAACACAAAGCAGGACCGCCTCAACCCACACCAAACACAACATGTCAACATGTAAACAATCATGGATCAAGTAGACACATAATACATGCAACATCAATCATACAACTCACTAATGCCTACTAGTCCTCTCATAACATACATTCCTGCTACCAGCTAACCTCCATAGAATGTGTAACCATAGGTAACCAGAGGTGAGATAGCCACCCGAACAGATGATCCTACTCTAGAGCCACAACCAAACGAGGAACAGGCAAGAGAGCCTATACCAAGAGTTCTCAGGCTATCCTACATGACCACATGCAATCGCTAAGGGCACTCCATATATGACAACCAACAAGCACAGATAACATACAATTCTACAGATTATTACATCAAAACAACATACTCAATACCAGGAGACAGATTTAACAGATCACTACATCATAACATCATACTCGATACCAGAACACAGATCTAACATATTAGTACAACATAGCAACATACTAAATATCAACAATCCAAGGAATGCATGGTCGTATATACTCAGAGGTGGGATAGTCACCCGGACAAGTGATCATACTCTAGAACCACAACCAAACAAGGAACATGTAAGAGAGCTTAGATCAAGAGTCCCCAGTCTATTCTACATGACTATATATAGTCCCTAAGGCATCCCTCTACTAACATGTAACCAAAACTAGTGGGCCAACATTGGTGCCTTCAACCCACGGGCACAGTGAGCGAAACTCACATCAATATGCGTGTAGGTAACCACCGTAGCAATAAAGAACTCTACCAGCTTCAACTCACTTCCAATCACCTACAGGAAGATACTTGAGTAAATCCCTGATCACAGGTCATAGTCACTTGCAACAGTGACTATTTCACATGAAATGACGATTAGGGTTCCACATGAAATGACGATTAGGGTTAAGTAAGGACATTTAACCCATTAAGGACTTAATCACCTAAGGGTAGGACTGATTAAGGTTTAACTTAGTCATTCTCGGGTATAATAATAATCCAAGCAATATCCCAAATACGCGCCCCAATCATTGTCCAAAATAGGGCTTCCCGATTCTAGGATTTTCCATATAAAATCATAACTAGGTTTAGTGTTCCACACTTAACCCCTTAAGGACTTAATTCATTAAGTGAAATACTACATTAAGTTAATTGTAGGTCATTACCGAGTATAATATAAAGTTCAATTAACAGTTCAACGCGGGTCCCGACAAAACTCCAAAATTAGGGTTTTCTTGACATTAGAGTTTACAACCCAACACGTGCCACTCTGTCTAAGGTTAGATGCTTAGGAAATTTAATGTTTAATAAGTCGAGCACCACCCACTGCCAACTCGGGCAGTGGTGGTCGGCGGCGGTCCATGGCGGCAGGAGGTGGCATCTACCACTTTCAATTGCGGGCGTTATAAATTTTTAAGCCAAAATATTATCCAAAGTCATTCCGGTTCACACGAAACATCAATCCGACACACACATACGCACGCAGCCACCCAAGGTGGTGGCTAGTGGCGGCAGAACGACGACAACCACCATGGTTGGCTGCCATGGTGGTTCTCTTTGCTTTTCCGGCCAACAAAACACCCAAACACACGACTCCAACACACCACAACAGCGGCACACACACCCAACTCGCGAAACACGAACACAACCACCCTCTCAAGGTGGCATGCAACCGTCAGAAATGATGGCAAAACGGGACAACGCATGGAGCGGTGGCGGCGACGTAGCATCAGAAAAGAAATGGAGAAGGGAAGGGATTGTGCGGCCCCTAACTGAAAATAACAGCAATGACAGCCACGAGCTTCAATCTTTCGACAACCCGCTGTTACGATGTCCAAACGTCGGTCTAGTCGATCTCCGCTATTGTCGGCAACAATAACGGCGGTGTTGGCTCAATGGTTCACGACGGCGACAAGGAGGTGGAGGCGGTGGCTGGAAGTTGGAGTGATAAGGGTGGCAGCTGCAACGGGATTTAGGGTTAGGGTTTGTTTCAAAATGAGAGCCAAGGGAGGAGGGGGAGTGACGGGTTTAAGGTAGTGTTTGTTTTTTGTCTGCAGATCTGCGTGGCCTCTTCTGTCTGCGCCGCGCAGACATTAGCCTTCGTAGACTGTTTGTTTTTTTGAGGACTGCAGACCTAAAAATGTCTGCGCGTCCTCTTCTTGGCGCATATGTGGACCAATGTCTTTTAACATCTTCAGACATCTTTTAGCCCAAAAAAACATATATATCTTTATTTTTTTAAGTTTTTTTTTTAATTTATATTTTTTCCAATTTTATTAATGATAAACAATTTGAAAAAAAAAATTACAAAACTTAAAAAAAAACGTTCGACGATAAATACATGATATTTTTGACAAATTGATAAATAAAGATTTATTACAATAATAGTCGTTGAAGTTGTTTATATAAATATGAAAAAAATCATAATTTATTTTTATATTTTTTTGCCAATTTTTGTAAAACATTATTTAATACAGTATCGTCAATTTTTTCGAGAAAATATTTATGGTACGTTTTTAATGGATTTAATTGAAAAAATCGAAGTTTATTTCCATCCATTTATGTATCAAATTCTTTGATCACTAATTATAATGTTTAGTTATAACTTTGCAACCAAAGTTGTTGGTTTTTTATCAAATATATACGTTACTTCATACCATTTTTTTTATTTTTTATACAATAATACATAAAAGTCGATCTAGATTCGTTTATTATTTATAACAAAGTCATAAAAATATTAAAAAATCACTTTGAAGTTTAAAAAAATCAGTTTATTTAGATTTCAGTTTATTTTAGTAGCCCGCAGATGTTAAAAAAACAAACAGTCTTCTTTTTTCAGACTGCAGACGTTTGGTCCACATCTTCTACTGCAGAGGTCTACAGATGTGGTCTGCAGACTGCAGATATTTTGTCTCAGAATAAACAAACAACACCTAAGTATCGTCTCCAACGCTTCAACTTAATTCCATTTTTACACTTTCAGTCCCTCCCTCTCAGTTCCTTTTCAAATTAAATCCACTAATTACCAAACAGCCCCTGCTCCACGAAATTCTTTACATTTCAAGTCCAAATGTTACAAAATAGACCCCAAATTCCAGAAATTATACCATTTAACTTCTTATGACTAACATTGATTTGAGGTAACATACTGTAATGTACAGTTGCATTTTCAATCTATTCATTTTAGTTGAATTTAAGCTGCTTGTTTGAGTTGTATATTTGAGCCAATATGGTGTGCATGAGGGTTGTACCTTATGCATGTTGGATTGTACCTTTGCTGATCAATGACCATAAAATGGACGTACACAAAACTACAACAATATGTTGTATAAAAAATATGCTATATAAGGAAAAAATGGATTTTAAAATATGTTATTTGATATATTTAATTCATAAAAATAATAATATTGAAACGTTAACATTATAGTAGTTATTGATTTTTTTTTTCTTATGAAGGACTTTTGATCTCTTTTGGTCTTTGATTTGATATTCACCATGGTAAAAGGTCTTGGTCTACTTCTAATACCTTAAAAATAATAGTTTTCTTTAATATATTTCTATATTTCTTAAAATGTGTTATTTGATACATTTAATTAAGGGAAAAGCAGAAGAATAATAATATATGTTTAAATATATGTTTAACATGTATTATTTGACGAAATTGAAATGAATATAATAAAAACTAGATAGGTATGGGTCAGAAGCTTTCGATTCGGGAGGGTTTTTGTGAATCTTTTTATTCCTTCGTGTTCCGTGACATGTTTCATTAGACTTGGAACTATCTCAGATAATGTTAGACAATTGCCAAAAACATGAAATTTATAGTCAAGAAACACAAGCATATGAAATATTTGTGATTGAATTGAATACCCTTGTCCTGATGTAGATGCTTCCTTTTTCTATGTAAATAATAAAATAAAAATAAATAAAGACCAATGAGAGTGAATTAACATTCAATAAAATAATAAGAACATGCAGCTATTCGTTCCCTATGTTCTGCGAGCCTGATTAAATCTTTGATGGGGATTTCATTCATACGCATCTCAAGGTCTACTTCGGAAATTATAAGCAATTATGGGTACACTGTGAGAGAACAAAATGATCAACGTCAAAGTTAGTCAAAGATGTACACTTGTAGCATTTACAACTTAAGCTAAGTTACTTTGTCTTTTATTTCTTTTTCGTGTGCTATGAGGGAATTTCTTTATTGCTTTCTTAATCTCTCTGAAGATGTAGGAACGGCATCCAGATGCTCTGATATAATCATAGAATCCACTTGAGACATTTCTGGAAAGTTGTTGGTTCATCATTTACATGGAAATCAGATACTGACCTCGTCGGAATGGAATCAGTGATGCCGATCCAAAAAGTTCATCCGGTTTAAATTTCAGGGGTGTTGTTGTGCATGTAGTCGATTGTGAAGGAATGGAGATTTCGCAAACTTTTAGCCCTACGTTAGCAAGTCAATATTAAGTAAGATTACTTATTATACATATAATCTAATATTTTGGACATACCTGAACTAATTCTTGATTCAGACAATATGTCAAGAGGAGGTTCCCAGAAAAGGGCATTTCCGGCATCCTAAATTCAGAAACACTCCAAAAGTTATCAATCTGTAGAAAAGTTTGTGCTTAACATGAGATATAAAGTTTGTGTCCTGCCGGGTCGCGGGTGGGTGGGTTTGCCGACTGAAGATGATGCTAACGATTGAAAGAATTTCTTAGGAAACAGCAGACAATAGAAGAGAATAGAAGCAGACAAAACGTAAAGACAACAATACGAATAATAGTAACAAACAACAAAAAGGGCAAAACAAAATACACAAAACATTTGAAAGAATACAAAAGTCTTTATGCTTACCAAGTCAGGAACTTTCTCCAGTTGAAATGATGAATAAGATTTGGAAGATGATATTTTTAACAAAAATCTGAGTCGATATTTTGGAAACACCACAAAAATCCAACAAAACGAAAATACAGAATGCAAATTGCATTTCCATGTTTCGCATCTCAGGTCCTGTGCTCTACACACCCATCACAAAGTTAAGAAATTAGTCAAATTCATCATTACTACTAATGTATTAGACTGAAGGAAGAAACATAAATCATTTTATTTTTTTGTTGGGACGATAGAAGAAAAAAAAAGGTGCTACTGTATAATTGGAAACAATTTCGAATAAAAACCATTAACATGACATATGCGTTTCAGTTGGGCATTTTCACAAACAATTGTCTATGTATTAGAAACAAATAATAAAATGGATAGAAAGAAACCTGGCAACGAACATCAATCTGTGTACCTTTACCCAAATCAATTTTTGTAGGCTCACCAGACACGAAATTGTGTTATACAGTTCCAGCAACAGATAACCACGAGCAATGTCAAGATTGTTACCTTCACGCCGATCTCCAAGGGGAATAAAAAATTTTCTAAAAAAGATTCACAGGTAGGGATACTCAAAATATTTAAAATCATCAACCTGTAATAACAAAACCGGTGGAGAGAACGATGGTACCTAAAGATACAGATAAATAGAAGATGATGAGAAGTAGAATAGGTGGAGGAATATTTGGCACAAAAAATAACCCTATGGTTTTATAAGCGTTTGATAGCTGAGATTTACCTGGCCATAGCCGCAGATGGGGAGAAATCGGTTGAAGTGGTTAGACCTTGTGGATGAGAAAAACTGAACAACAGAAGATGATCAGAAGAACTTGTGGATTGAGGTGGTGGAGACGATCGACAGGAAGAGGGGATCAATATTGTAGTTAGAGAAGAAAGCCGGTGAGCACTAGGGAAGGCGAGCTGTAGGGCTAGAGGCAAACGGAAGAAGGGAGAGGCGGTGGAAGTGAGCGATTAAAAAGAATAAAGAAGGATTTGAGGCGGTGGAATCTGTTGATAGATTAACCCGGTGAAGGAACCAGTGGAGACGTGTCACTCCTGAAAGAAGCAGTGAGAATCAGAAGCGGACACGTACTCAAGCAAACGGTGAGGAAGCAAAAGAAACCCACCATCAATATAAATAACGACATAAAAAGACCCAATACAGAAAACAGACAGAATTGGAAAGGGAAATAGAAGGGGAAAAATCGACATATTAGAATGAAGCAAGCAAAGAGAAAAACCAGGAAAATAGAAGGGCAAAATAAGACAAAAGAGGACCCATTATACTGTAGCTAAGCCAAGACAAATTTAATATATATATATATATATATATATATATATATATATATATATATAATAATTGGTATGGTGAATTATTTATATGGTTTAAACAAAACCCAAATAACATGTCAAGAGTCAAGACAATAATAAATAATAATGTCAACACTTGTTTTTAATTTAATTAATAAAACACCAAATCATTAATTTATCCTCTGTGGTAACATAGTTTAAAATATGCTTATTTAATATATCAGTCGTAAACACAGTTATTTAAAGATTTTTATATTATTCATATATCTACATACATCTAAATAATAATGTTTATGGTAATATAAATAAACGCTAAAAAGTAAAAACTGAATATCAATATCGATTAAAATATGAGAAAATTACAAATATAACCTAATCTATTAATTACTTTGTGGAAAAAAACAACAACAAAAAGAAAAAAAAAACAAATTATAATTTTAGTCACGAAAATCGCAGATGAATTAAGTCCATCTGCGATTTTAGTAAGCCATCTGCGATTTACCTATACCATCCGCAATTTAACTTTTTCTAGGTATAAGTTTTTTTTTTTGCTTCATTTTTCACACTTTAATCAATGGATGATTTCATAAACAATTCCGATAATATGGTAAAATCTTACCCATTTTGTGTTTTAATCATCATTTATCAATTTTAGGCTTTGTTTATTTACGATTTATTGACAAAAAGTTTAAAAAAAAACGAAAATATTATTAGATTTCAGGTGTTTCTCATCCAATTTTTTTGAGATCTATGTGTTATATTTTATATTTACTAGATTTTAAAAGTAGTCTTGAGGTTTTGATAACATTTAATAATTGGCTCTATGATTGTACAAGTGCATAATGCATAAATCGTGCATTGTGAGATTGTACATTTGATACTTTTGTGTTAATATGTTATATAAATGTGTTAATATGTTGTAATAATGTGATTTTTTGATATAGAAATGATTATTGTTGCTTTATGATGTTGTACCTTTGCATTTTGAGGTTGTACATATAGTTTATCCAAAAATATTCATTTAATTGTTGATGTTATAAATATTCTTATATATAGAAATATCTTTTATATACAACCGGTTTATTTGTCATGATTTATATACATTCGGTTTATTTCTCAAAAAACATATTATTATATGTTGCAATTTGGATGTTATAAATAGACATTTGATTTATTTTGTGATTGTAATTGCCGATGTTGTTATAATAATATGTTTTTTTGACAGTTTTTTTATTATATGTTGCAATTTGAATGTTGTTATAAATAAACATTTGATTTATTTTGTGATTGTAATTCCAATGTCGTTATAATAATATGTTTTTTTTGACAGTTTTATTTATTATTTAGTATAGTTTTTTTGACAGTTTTTTTATTTAATATAGTTATTTTGACAGTTTTTTTATCCTTTAAAGTTTTTTAACCTTCTTACATGTTGTTTTTCAGCATTATTCTAGAAATTTAAATATTAAAGCTGTTGTAAATCTGAAAGGACCAGGATGTAACATATAACGAATATTTGAAGTATTGCATGGTGTGCGACCAGAAATTTTTAGAAGCATCGTGTTTGGTTATTTGTTGGACGCCCATCAATTACAAGGGGACGAGTTGCTATTTCATAAAACGTTTCTTCATCAGTTATGACCAGACGCAGTAGTATCTCCAGATGACATAAAGCGGTTGTATTTTAAAGTGGGAGATACTAAAATGATTTATGGCCCCAAAAAGTTTTGTTTAATAACCGGATTAAATTTTGGAGTTTATCCAAAAATGATTGGAAAAAAAGTGTCAGAAAAAAAATTAGTAGTCAAAAAAGATGTTTATTGCGGGAATGTCCTTTTTCGAACCACACAAATAGTTCGGTGAAAATTTGTGATTTAAAAAGTTTCATTTTAAATCAATCATTCTTAGCAGCTACCGACGATGATGCAGTTAGAGCATGTGTCATATACGTTTTGTGTGAAAAGTTTTTGGGAAAAGAAACAAATGATCGTGTGCAACAAGACTGTGTTTTTTTTTTTTTTTTTTTTTTTTTTTTTTTTGGCTGAGAACTTGGATGGGTGGAACATGTATTATTTGTCAAATTTGAAAGTTTTATATTTTCTATGATAATGTTTATTCTAATTAAAAGTTATATATTGTAGTTTTGCTTGGGGTAATTATTTGTGGGAGTTCACCTACGATGATCTTGAGCATACATGGAACAAAATAAATAAATGTTTATCACTACCTGAGCCTCGTCAATCATTTAAATACTCGGTGTCAGGATTTACGGCGCCATTCAGGGTATACATATATATATAATTATATATTTATAATATATAACAAGTATATTAGTTGTTATAATTGATATTAATATAATTGCTAAAATTATAGATATGGATTTATGAGATGCTTCCATCTGTTCGAGGTTGTTATGCGTTACGTAAAAACAAAGATACACCTCAGATGAAGCGTTGGAGTGCAACCAAACAATTGAAATGAGTTGATGTGAACAAGATTTTTGATGTGACAAATGTTTGTACTTTTACTAACATTATACATATGTTTGAACTTTTACTAACATTATACATATGTTAATTTGTTTTAGGAGGGACGAACACCAAAACATAGCATGACACCGAGCGATGATGAGAGAAGATCTTCTTATTATATGTCATGTCAAGAGTATGTGTATGGTGAACCACCTTCAGTTCCATCCTCAGTACGGAAACATTTTAGGAGGCAAGACAAATCTTCGTATAGTGTATCGTCTAGTGGCCGATCCCATGGTAGAGCAGGAAAAAGTGGGAAAGCAAGTTTAGAAGAGTTTCCGAATTGGTTATTTGCACTCGAACAAGAGGTGTATATGAATCGACAACGACCGATGTGAATGTGGAAGAAGTGAATGACGAAAGTATATGGAACAACATAAATTTTGATGAACCGATAGAATTTCAAACAAAATTTTCTTTTGATGAAAAGGTTAGTGATACCCTATGTTTATGATATAATTTGTATATAAATATGTATATTTTATTAATAATTTAAAGGTATTAATGTAGGTTTAAGATGAAGCGGGGCGGATTAGAAATAACTTCGATGAGGATATTTTTGATGATAATGAAGCTGAAAAGGTTATTATACCTTATACTTATGATATAATTTTTTAATAATTATGTATATTTTATTAATAATTATAACGTATTAATGTAGGTGTTTGACGAAGGGGGGCACGAAGAGGGGCGGAGTACAAATAACTTCGATAAGGATGTTTTGGATTTTGATGATAATGAAGATGAAAATGTTATTATACCTTATATTTATGATATAATTTGTTAATAAATACGTATATATATTATTAATAATTATAAAATATTAATGTAGGTGTTAGATGTCGAGGTAATAATTGTAGGGAGTATAAATCACTTTGATGATAATGAAGTTACACCCGATAAACCTAGGCTTTGTAATCCATCAAAGTTTATGTGTACTCCTTTCATGTAGGTATACATTAAAAGCTAATATTGAAAGAATTTTTTTATGCCAAATATTCATAAAATAAATATATAAATGTTTGAGAAATGTTTTAGTTACACACGACACCAAAGCCAAAGCGAAGAGCAAAGAAGAAGGTTGACACCGGATCAACAACCCCCCTCCTCCTCCTCCAGTATTCGATGTTGCTCATAACTTTTTAGTTTTGCGCCTGCAGCCTTACATAGCAGGCGGTGAGGTTGTGTTACAAAATTATTATTATCATGCGTTTAACGTGGAACACAGATTGTACAATTTGATATTTGATAGAGAGTTTTGGAGCACGTTTTTTGGGCATACACATAACGGCTGGTTAGATGAAGCAGTAAGTATTTATAAATTTATGCTTATAAGTGGTTTTTTATATATTAATTTTTAACAAAAGTACCATAACATTCACATCATATCACGATTTGGATTAGACTGTTGATGGAGAGAATGTTTGAAGCTGACCGGTATACCATAATGCCTCCAAATTTTTTTGTTTGCCATGTTTTGGAAGATGGTACCGATTGGAGGGCATTTATGGCTGGGATAGCTACATACCCCAACTTTATGGTTCATTGGTGGGATGTGGATATGGTATATTATTAGTTTTATTGAAATTACATTCATTCGTATCATTCTTTTGTATCGAAATATTAATAAGTAATTATTTTTTAAATTTAAACTTTTTGCAGGTTTATATGCCGATTCATTCCTATCCAAATCATCGGCTCTTTGGGGAACTATGACTGGATTAATGGAAGTCCATCTATATGACAGTCTTGGTAGGGGTGCGTTTCAAAAATTTGAGTCAGATGGAACTTTTATCAAATTTGAGGCGCGGATAGCAAAATATTTAGACAAAATTAAATACTGGCAGAGGAGGAACATCCCAAGACGACCATTGAATATGAAATTTACCTTCGAAGATAATGTTC